TGATTAAAATTCCACTTTGCACCTTGGCGGGGATTTGCTAAAAATACGCACCACAATTCAAAACTTTCGGAACCTATATTTTCTTTCTTCACTTGGAACCAAAAGTTTTAGATTGGCAGGTATGCTAGACAGTCCAAAGTTCTTCCAACAAACTCAAATTTTCATGCATAGAAGATGTGGATGATGATTTAAATTTCACTTTTCACCATGGCGGGACTCTGCTAAAATTACGCAGCAACGTTCCAGACTCTTCTCGCCTACGTAATTTTCTTCACTTTGAAACAAACGGTCTAGGTTGGCATGTATGCTAAAGATTCCAAGGCCCTTATAGACAACACTTGATGTCATGCATAGAAGATGTCGATGGTGATTTAAATTCCACTTTGCACCGTGGCGGGCTTTGCTAAAAATACGCGCCAAAATTCCAAACTTTCAGCACCTATATTTTCTTCCTTCACTTGGAACCAAAAGTTCTAGGTTGGCAGGTATGCTAAACAGTCCAAAGTCCTTTCAACAAACTCAAAATTTCATGCATAGAAGATGTGGATGGTGATTTAAATTTCACTTTTCACCATGGCGGGACTTTGCTAAAATTACGCACCAACGTTCCAGACTTTTCGCGTCTATATCATTTTCTTCACTTTGAACCAAACGATCTAGGTTGGCATGTATGCTAAAGATTCCAAGGCCCTTCCAGACAACACTTGATGTCATGCCTAGAAGATATGGATGGTTATTTAAATTCCACTTTGCACCGTGGCGGGCTTTGCTAAAGATACACGCCAAAGTTCCAAACTTTCTACACCTGTATTTTCTTCCTTCACTTGGAACCAAAAGCTCTAGGTTGGCAAGTATGCTAAATAGTCCAAAGTCCTTACAACAAACTCAAAATTTCATGCATAGAAGATGTCGATGGTGATTTAAATTTCACTTTTCACCATGGCGGGGCTTTGCTAAAATTACGCGCCAAGGTTCCGGACTTTGAGTACCTATATTTTTTTCTTCACTTGGAACCAAACACTCTAGGTTAGCAGGTATGCTAAAGAATCCAAGGCAATTCCAAACAACACTTGATGTCGTGCTTAGAAGATGTGGATGGTGATTTAAATTCCACTTTGCACCGTGGTGGGCTTTGCTAAAAATACGCGTCAATTCCAAACTTTCAGCACCTACATCTTCTTCCTTTTCTTGGAACCAAAAGCTCTAGGTTGGGAGGAATGCTAAATAGTCCAAAGCCCTTAAAAAAAACTCAAAATTTCATGCATGATGTGGATGGTGATTTAAATTACATTTTTCTCCATGGCGGGGCTGAGCTAAAATTATGCGTCAACGTTCCATACTTTGAGTGCCTTAATCATTTTCTTCACTTGGAACCAAAAGCTCTAGGTTGGCAGGTATGCTAAAGAGTCCAACGCCCCTCCAACAAACTTAAAGTGTCGTGCATAGAAAATGTGGATGCTGATTTAAATTCCACTTTGCACCGTGGCGGGGCTTTGCTAAAGTACGTGCCAAAGTTACAATGTTTTAGCGCCTATATCTTCTTCTTTCAGTTGGAACCAAAAGCTCTAGGTTGGCAGTTATGCTAAACAATTCAAAGCCCTTCCAACAAGCTCAAAAAATTGTGCATTGAAGATGTGGATGGTGATTTCAATTTCTCTTTTCATCATGGCAGGCCTTTGCTAAAATTACGCACCAACGTTTCAGATTTTGAGTACCTATATCATTTTCTTCACTTGGAACCAAACACTCTAGGCTGGCAGGTATGCTAAAGAGTCCAAGACCCTTCCAAACAACACTTAATGTCGTGCATAGAAGATGTGGATGGTGATTTAAATTCCACTTTGCACCGTGACGGGCTTTGCTAAAAATACGCGCCAAAGTTCCAAACTTTCAGCACCTATATTTTATTCATTCACTTGGAACCAAAAGTTCTAGGTTGGGAGGTATGCTAGACAGTCCAAATCCCTTCCAAGAATCTCAAAATACCATGCATAGAATATGTGGATGGTAATTTTGTTGTGTGATGTCATTATATCCTATCACATGATGTCTGCCTCCCATCCCATGTTTTCAACCTTTATGTGTGGTGTGAATGTGTGCAAGCATTTATGCATGGTGTGTTCTGGAGTTTGGGAATGTGTTTTGTGTTATTTTGTTTGAGCAGGTATTTGTGATGATCTTTCCGACGCAACAAGAATCGCTTCAATCGAAGCAAGAACGTGAAAGCTATGAAGATTCAAAGTTCATGAGCTTGCGTTACAATTGCGGCGGTTACCAAGAGAAGTTGTGGGGGGACTCTATATGGAGTTGGGACCTTTGGAATTGGAGAAATTCGTCACTCTACTGTAGCAGCTGCAAATTGGCTGGGAACAACCAAGCTAGGTTGGCAAGGGTGGCCAACTTGGTTGTATTGGTTGGGAAGGGACAAAGGTAAAAGTTGGGGATCCTATATTGAGGGAATCTTTGTGCTTATGGGGTTTCCTTGGTTGGGGACTCTCTTTGGACCTTCCCTGTCATCCTTCTCTTCCCTTCCAACCTTTCTCTTGCTCCTCTGATTCCTTGTGAGATTATTGAAGTTTGATCAAACTTTTGAGATTGAGTTAAGTTCTTCTCCTACAGCATACTCCTCAGTGCGTCGAAAGAAATAGCGTCGCGAATACTCCATCAATCAATGTGATTCGAATTGGGAACGGTAGCACAAATTAAGAGCTAAAACATACCGAATTTCACGATCTTCCAACGGCTAGTTTTTTGTCGAAGACGTTTCTTGTGGAGACGACTTTTCTGTCCAGAATTTCGGAAATATATTTTGAGTAATTCTAGCTCCCAAGTTCACCTAGACTCCGTCTTTAATCCTAACAAGTGGTATCTGAGATTTATTGAGGACATTGAGAGGAGTCTACAGAAGTGTGAAGACCCTTCTAGATCCACCATGGCCTGTGGGTGTGCCTAAGTGGTGTTCTAAAGGGGAAACTCTGCCGAAATTTTGTGGACGCCGACACTTGTGAAAATATCGAGTGAGTTGAGTGTGGACAGCAAAGGGGAGCTGAAATTCATCATTTCTCAAGGAGGAGATGAATGAGAGAGGAGGAGATGCGAATGGAAGAGGAGCTATACCTGAGAAGACAAGTGAGCCGCCACCATCCAAAGTTGAATCTTTGGATGGCTCCACCTATGAAGAATGGAGTGGGCGGATGAGGAGTGCCTTCAAACGCTACAAGCTACTGAAGTTTGCTGCTGGGGAGGAGAAGATGCCGGAGGAAGGTGAACGCGAACGGTTGATTAAGAAAAGCACGGTGCTTTTTGACCTCATCCTTCAATCGGTCAACAAGGAGATGTTCGAGCACATCAAGGATCTTGTGGAAGCGGATGATTCGGGTCCAAGGGCATGGAAACTACTGTGCGGTGTGATTCAGCCCAACACTCTCCTGATGGTGATCGTGCTTCAGAAGGAACTTGCTGCCATCTCCATGCGACCGGGAGACGATGTAAAGCCGGTTCTTGACAAGATCAAGGACACATATGCGAGGATGGCAGCAGCGGGCAGCAGCATTTCTCAGCTGCAGCAGTGCACCAAGATCATCTCGGTATTGGACAACTCTTGGGACAACCTCATCCCCACCCTCAACTCTCAGCAAGATCAATGGACACCTGAGTGGCTAAGGCAGCAGATTCTGCAGGACTTCCGCAGACGCCATGTGGGAGGCGATGCTTCCACTAAGACTGCCGAGGGGTATGGAGCTGCAGGGCGCGGCAGAGGAAGAGGGGGTTGGAGAGGCAGAGGCCGTGGGAGGAGCTTTAGCAGAGGTAGAGGCCGAGGTGACTATAATGAGGGGCATGGGAGCTCTGGTGGCAGGGGGAGTACCAGAATGGAGGGCACCTGCTAGTACTGCAAGAAGGTTTGGCACCCTTGGTTCAAGTGCTTCAGCAGGTCGGAGGGATGGGCACCTCCAGGCATGAAGCCGCCCAGTGGTAAATGTGCACAAGGTGGTGCTGTGCAAGGCTCGGGTGCACAAGGTGAAGCTGCACAAGGTAATGCCTCTCGTGGGATGTTTCTCATGGTTGAGGATGTGCATGGGCATGAATGTGATGTGGGATTTGTGGGAAAGGTTGTGATGCACCCTCTCACTGTTAGAATTAAGGACGGAGTCTAGGTGAACTTAGGAGCTAGAATTACTCAAAATATATATCCGAAATTCTGGACAGAAAAGTCGTCTTCACAAGAAACGACGTCGACAAAAACCTAGCCGTTGGAATGTCGCGAAACTTGGATATGTTGTAGCTCTTAATCTCAGCTACCGTTCCCAATTTGAATCACGTTGATTGATGAAGTATTCGCGACGCTATGGCTTTCGACGCACTAGGGGGTAAGCTGTAGGAGGAGAACTTAACTCAATCTCAAGAGTTCAATGAAAGTTCAAGAATCTCACAAGGAATTTAGAGGAGCAAGAGAAAGGTTGGGATAGAAGAGAGGGATGAGAGGGAAGGTCCCAAGAGAGTCCCCAACCAAGGAAACCCCATAAGCACAAAGATTCCCTCCCTATAGGAACCCCAACTTTGACATTTGTCCCTTCCCAACCAATCCATCCAAGTTGGCCACCCTTGCCAACCTAGCTTGGTTGTTCCCAACCAATTTGCAGCTGTTACAGTAGAGTGACGAATTTCCCCAACCCCAAAGGTCCCAACTCCATATAAAGTCACCCCACAACTTCACTTTGTAACCGCCGCAATTGTAACGCAAGCTCATGAACTTTGAATCTTCATAGCTTTCGCGTTCTTGCTCCGATTGACGCGATTCTTGTTGCGTCGGAAAGATCTTCTCAAGATCTATCATCACAAATACCTGCTCAGACAGAATAACACAAAACACATTCCCAAACTCCAGAACACACACCACACAAATTCTTTCACACACAGTCAAACCATACGTGCGAATTGAAACAAGGGATGGGAGGCAGACAGAATGTGATAACATATGATGACATCACACAACAATCTCCCCCTCTGGCTGCCAACCATCAACCACCATACCAACATCTCAAGCATGCATACTCAATGCACACTCATCCCAGCAAGCTTCATGCCCTTCCAATGATCCGCCTCCGCCAGACGCTTGGTGAAAATATCTGCTGCCTGCTGATGGGTCTTCACTATCTCCAGCCGCACCTCCTTATCAAGGAGTCTCCTCACCCAGTGCCACTTAGGCCTTATGTGTTTTGTCAGCCCATGCAAACAAGCATTCTTGGCGAGCTTCACAGCAGACTCATTGTCACAGAACACAACTGTCGGCTCCTCCTGACCAACTCCCAACTCCTCCAACAAACGCCTTAGCCACACTACTTCCTTGGCCCCATGGTGTAAGGCCATGTACTCAGTCTCACATGAGGACAATCCCACCTCATTCTGCTTCTTGCTGCGCCAGCTCACAGCACCACCTCCTAGCAAGCACACATAACCCCCAATGCTGGTGCCATCCGCTTTCACTGAGTTGAAGCTAGCGTCAGTATAGCAACTCAAGAGCATCTCACCACTCTTCACATCTGCAGCACCTCTCTGCAACCGCTGCCTCACTCCACTGTACTCCAATCCCACTGATGCCGTAGCACTCACATAGCGGACCAACCTCTTGGCCGCTTCCAGCTGCTCATGACTAGGGCGTGAGACCACACTAGCCAACCGTGATGTAGAAAATGCAATGTCAGGCCGTGTATGATTTGCAGCATAATTCAGCGACCCAACCATCGAATGAAACAGCTTCCTGTCACTCTCACCCACTACCTCCTCATCAGCACATGGCTCCACAGTAAACCCTGAAGGTAGTGGTGTTGCTGGCTTTCCCCCATCTTGCAGCCCATACTTCTCAGCCAGCCCCTCACAGTACTTCCTCTGGTGCAACCTCAGCACACCCTTCTCCACATCTCTCTCCACATGCATCCCCAAGTAGTACTTCACCTCACCCATCTTGGAACACTTGAACTGCATCTCTAGCATCTGCTCTGCGCTGTCCAGCAAAGCAGTTGATGCAGAAAAGAGAAGGATATCATCCACGTACACCAAGAGCATGAGGATTTCATCCTTCTCCTGCAGCAGGAACAGGCTGGGGTCACACTCACTCTTCTTGAAACCCCCAGCCAGCAGCGCCTCCTCCAACTTGTGATACCATGCACGAGGCGCCTGCTTAAGGCCATAGATGGCCTTCTTCAGCCTGCAGACCCTGCCGCTCCCATCATCCAGCCCCTCTGGCTGCTTCATATACACCTCCTCCAGAATGATCCCATTCAGAAAGGCAGTCACAATGTCCATCTGCCGTATCTTCCATCCCAGGAGTGCAGCTATCGCCAACAGCACCCTCAGTGTTGTTCCTTTCCCCACAGGAGCAAACACCTCATCATAGTCCTTCCCTTTTGTCTGCTGAAACCCCCTTGCCACAAGCCTAGACTTGTATCGGGTCAGCTCCCCTTCAGGTCCATACTTGTGCCTGTAGATCATCTTGGAAGTGATTGCCTTCTTTCCAGGAGGCAAGTCACACAGGTCCCATGTCTCGTTCTCAATCAGGGACCCAAACTCCTCATCCTCACTCGCCTTCCACTTCTCCCCATTTGGTCCATTCAAGGCCTCTTCTCGAGTCTTGGGCTCAGGGATTGGTGCCCAGTAGCAGTGAGCGATCTCATCTTCCTCAATCTGCTCAACCACACTCCCAGCCTGCACCACATTCGGCTTGCCTCTTCCCCCATAGGTCAGCCTCACTGGAGGGCGCACATCCCTCCTAGGACGCTCAGGCGGGTGTGGAACTCGAGGTGGAGATTCATGCTGCTGCTGCTGCTCCACCTCAGCTGCTCCCCCTTCCTCAGTCACCCCAGACATCTCCTCCTCTGACACTGCAACCTCCACCTGTCTTGAAGGCTGCTGCAACTCATCTGCCTCCACAATGAGTGGTGTAGATGGAAGCTTCTGTTGCTGCTGCTTCCATTCCTTATAGTACAGGGACTCAAGAAACTTCACATCCCTTGACACTGTCAGCTTCTGGGTGGTCAGGTCCCATAGCAGCCACCCCTTGTGATCCTTTGCAATCCCCAAGTGCACACCCCATCTTCCAGAAGCCTCCAACTTCCCCCTTTTCTCCTTGGGCACATGAAACACCACCATGCACCCAAATGCCCTCAGCATGTTCACCGCTGGAGCACTCCCATACCACTTGGCATATGGGATCCACTCCTTATCTCCAACTGTAGCCAGCACCCTATTCTTCACAAGGGCGACCTGCCTCAGTGCAGACACCCAAAACGGATCAGGCAGCCCTGCACGCCCAAGGAGAGTGCGTGCCCCCTCCTGCAGGGTCCTGTTGAACCTCTCAGCCACGCCATTCTGCTGCGGGTTGTAGGGCACTGTCAGTTGATGCTGGATCCCCTTCCTCTTCAACTCCCCCTCAAAATCAGCTCCAATGAACTCCCCACCATTGTCACTACGGATCACCTTCACCTTGTGTCCGCATTCCCTCTGAGCTCTCGGCATCCACTCCTTAAGGACAGCCGCTGCCACCTCCCCCTTGCTGTTCAAAGGGTAAACCCACACTGCTCGAGTGTGGTCATCCACAATTGTCAAGAAATAGCGGCTGCCTGAGAGGGAAGGGGCTCTTGTGGGCCCCACCACATCCATGTGCACAAGTGCAAGTGGGGTCTTGGCTGGTCCTGTAGTGCTGTTGAAGGGGAACTTGGAGAACTTGGTCTCCAAGCATGTAGGGCAGCTCCCAATCTCCTTCACTCCCCCTTTCACCTCCAAGCCTTTCAGGCTCCCATCCTTTACCAACTTCTGTAGCATAGGGAAGTTCACATGACACAGCCTCTCATGCCATGTCTCCCAATCGGCCTCTCCACTCTTTGATGAAGCCTTAGCCCATGCCGCACTCGCATCCACACCAGCAAGCACCTCACCATGTCTCTGCTGCTGCTGCACTTTCTTGACTGCTTCCAGGACCCCATCAGTTGGTGCAGTTGCATCTCCTCCTGCTGTTGCCTTTGCCGCTGCTGCCGTTGCTGCTGTTGGAGTCTTCCCATTCCATGGGATGATGGGCAGCTGCCACAGGTCCTTGATGCAACTGGTCTCCTCTTCCAGACTCCATAGCACCTTCTTCCCAAGCTTAGCACGGCAGCTGGTTGGTCCAAAGGTCACTTCGGCCTTGCTCTTCTGCAGTCGTCGCACAGAGAGAAGGTTAGCAGACAAGCCTTTAACCAGCAGAACATTCCCAAGCCCCACAAGCTCCCCATTAGCTCCCTTAACCTTGGCATTTCCAACACCAATGACAGGGAGCAAAGCACCTGACGCTGCTGCCACATACTTGATCTTCCCAGGGGGTTTTACCTCATCAAGCAAATCTGCCCGTGGGGTCATGTGACTGGTGCAACCCGAATCAATCACCCAGTGCGTGAGAGGGTGCATCACAACCTTTCCCACAGATCCCACATCACCCTCATGCCCATGCACATCCTCAACCATAACAAACAAACCAGGATAGGCATTACCTTGTGCACCTTCACCTTGTGCACCTGAGCCTTGCACAGCGCCACCTTGTGCGCGTTCACCACTGGGCGGCTTCATGCCTGGAGGTGCCCATCCCTCCAGCCTGCTGAAGCACTTGAACCAAGGATGCCCAACCTTCTTGCAGTACCAGCACGTGCCCTCCATTCTGGTACTCCCCCTGCCACTAGAGCTCCCATGCCCCTCATTATAGTCACCTCGGCCTCTACCTCTGCCAAAGCTCCTCCCACGGCCTCGGCCTTTCCAACCCCCTCTTCCTCTGCCGCGCCCTGCAGCTCCATACCCCTCAGCAGTCTTAGTGGCAGCACCGCCTCCCACATGGCGTCTGCGGAAGTCCTCCTGCAGAATCTGCTGCCTTAGCCACTCAGGTGTCCATTGATCTTGCTGAGAGTTGAGGGTGGGGATGAGGTTATCCCACGAGTTGTCCAACACCGAGATGATCTTGGTGCACTGCTGCAGCTGAGATACACTGCTGCCCGCTGCTGCCATCCTTGCATAGGTGTCCTTGATCTTGTCAAGGACCGGCTTCACATCGTCCCCTGGTCGCATGGAGATGGCAGCAAGTTCCTTCTCGAGCACGATCACCATCAGGAGAGTGTTGGGCTGAATCACATCGCGTAGTAGTTTCCACGCCCTTGGACCCGAATCATCCGCTTCCACAAGATCCTTGATGTGCTCGAACATCTCCTTGTTGACCGATTGAAGGATGAGGTCGAAAAGCACCGTGCTTTTCTCAATCCACCGTTCACGTGCTTCGCCTTCTTCCGGCATCTTCTCTTCCCCAACAGCAATCTTCAGTAGCTTGTAGCGTTTGAAGGCACTTCTCATCCGTCCGCTCCATTCCTCATAGTTGGAGCCATCCAAAGCTTCAACTTTTGATGGCGGCGGTTCACTTGTCTTCTCAGCTACAGCTCCTCTTCCATTAGCATCTCCTCCTCTCTCATTCATCTTCTCCTTGAGAAATGACGAATTTCAGCCCCCCTTTGCTGTCCACACTCAGCTCCCTCGATATTTTCACAAGTGTCGGCGTCCACGAAATTTCGGCAGAGTTTCCCTTAGCGGAAGACACATCCAACCTTTAGAACACCACTTAGGCACACCCACAGGCCATGGTGGGTCTAGAAGGGTCTTCACACTTCTGTAGACTCCTCTCAACGTCCTTAATACAGCTCTGATACCACTTGTTAGAATTAAGGACGGAGTCTAGGTGAACTTAGGAGCTAGAATTACTCAAAATATATATCCGAAATTCTGGACAGAAAAGTCGTCTTCACAAGAAACGACGTCGACAAAAACCTAGCCGTTGGAATGTCGCGAAACTTGGATATGTTGTAGCTCTTAATCTCAGCTACCGTTCCCAATTTGAATCACGTTGATTGATGAAGTATTCGCGACGCTATGGCTTTCGACGCACTAGGGGGTAAGCTGTAGGAGGAGAACTTAACTCAATCTCAAGAGTTCAATGAAAGTTCAAGAATCTCACAAGGAATTTAGAGGAGCAAGAGAAAGGTTGGGATAGAAGAGAGGGATGAGAGGGAAGGTCCCAAGAGAGTCCCCAACCAAGGAAACCCCATAAGCACAAAGATTCCCTCCCTATAGGAACCCCAACTTTGACATTTGTCCCTTCCCAACCAATCCATCCAAGTTGGCCACCCTTGCCAACCTAGCTTGGTTGTTCCCAACCAATTTGCAGCTGTTACAGTAGAGTGACGAATTTCCCCAACCCCAAAGGTCCCAACTCCATATAAAGTCACCCCACAACTTCACTTTGTAACCGCCGCAATTGTAACGCAAGCTCATGAACTTTGAATCTTCATAGCTTTCGCGTTCTTGCTCCGATTGACGCGATTCTTGTTGCGTCGGAAAGATCTTCTCAAGATCTATCATCACAAATACCTGCTCAGACAGAATAACACAAAACACATTCCCAAACTCCAGAACACACACCACACAAATTCTTTCACACACAGTCAAACCATACGTGCGAATTGAAACAAGGGATGGGAGGCAGACAGAATGTGATAACATATGATGACATCACACAACACTCACGTGTTGGGTAATTGACTCAAGTTGCACCAGTCACATGACCCCACGAGCACATTTGCTTGATGAGGTAGAACCCCCTAGGAAGACTAAGTATGTGGCAACAGCATCAGGTGCTTTGCTCCCTGTGATTTGTGTTGGGAATGCCAAGGTTAAGGGAGCTAATGGGGAGCTTGTGGGGCTTGGGAATGTTCTGCTTGTTGAAGGTTTGTCTGCTAACCTTCTCTTTGTGTGGCGACTGCAGAAGGGCAAGGCCGAAGCGACCTTTGGACCAACCAGCTGTCAGGCTAAGCTTGGAAAGAAGGTACTATGGAGTCTGGAAGAGGAGACCAGCTGCATCAAGGACCTGTGGCAGCTGCCCATCATCCCTTGGAATGGGAAGACTCCAACAGCAGCAACGGCAGCAGCGGCAAAGGCAACTGCAGGAGGAGATGCAACTGCACCAACTGTTGGGGTCCTGGAAGCAGCCAAGAAAGTGCAGCAGCATGAGACTCATGGTGAGGTGCTTGCTCGTGTGGATGCGAGCACGGCATGGGCTAAAGATTCATCTAGGAGTGGTGAGGCCGATTGGGAGACATGGCATGAGAGGCCGTGTCATGTGAACTTCCCTATGCTGCAGAAGTTGGTGAAGGATGGCAGCCTAAAGGGCTTGGAGTGAAGGAGACTGGGAACTGCCCTACATGCTTGGAGACCAAGTTCTCCAAGTTCCCCTTCAACAGTGCAACAGGACCAGCCAAGACCCCACTTGCACTTGTGCACATGGATGTGGTGGGGCCCACAAGAGCCCCTTCCCTATCAGGCAGCCGCTATTTCTTGACAATTGTGAATGACCACACTCGGGGAGTGTGGGTTTACCCTTTGAAGAGCAAGGGGGAGGTGGCAGCGGCTGTCCTTAAGGAGTGAATGCCTAGAGCTCTTAGGGGATGCAGACACAAATTGAAGGTGATCCGCAGTGACAATTGTGGGGAGCTCATTGGAGCTGTTTTTGAGGGGGAGTTGAAGAGGAAGGGGATCCAGCATCAATTGACACTTCCATACAACCCGCAGCAGAATGGCATGGCTGAGAGGTTCAACAGGACCCTGCAGGAGGGGGCACGCACTCTCCTTGGGCATGCAGGGCTGCCTGATCCGTTTTGGGTGTCTGCACTAAGGCAGGTCGCCCTTGTAAAGGACAGGGTGCTGGCTACAGTCGGGGAGTGCTCCAGCTACAAACATGCTGAGGGCATTCGGGTGCATGGTGGTGTTTCATGTGCCTAAGGAGAAAGGGGGGAAGTTGGAGGCTTCTGGAAGATGGGGTGTACACTTGGGGATTGCAAAGGATCCTGAGGGGTGGCTGTTGTGGGACTTGACCACCCACAAGCTAACAATGTCAAGGGATGTGAAGTTTCTTGAGTCCCTGTATTAAAAGGAATAGAAGCAGCAGCAACAGAAGCTTCCATCTACACCTCTCATTGTGGAGGCAGATGAGGTGCAGCGGCCTTCAAGACATGTGGAGTTTGCAGTGTCTGAGGAGGAGATGTCTGGGGTGACTGAGGAAGAGGGAGCAGCTGAGGTGGAGCAAAATCAGCAGCAGCATCATGAGTCTCCACCTCGAGTTCCACACCCGTCTGAGCGTCCTAGAAGGGATGTGCGCCCTCCGGTGAGGCTGACCTATGGGGGAAGAGGCAAGCCGAATGTGGTGCAGGCTGGGAGTGTGGTTGAGTAGATTGAGGAAGATGAGATCAGTCAGTGCTACTGGGCACCAATCACTGAGCCCAAGACTCGAGAAGAGGCCTTGAATGAACCAAATGGGAAGAAGTGGAAGGCGAGTGAGGATGAGGAGTTCGTGTCTCTGATTGAGAACGAGACAAGGGACTTGTGTGACTTGCCTCGTGGGAAGAAGGCAATCACTTCCAAAATGATCTACAGGCACAAGTATGGACATGAAGGGGAGCTCACCCGCTACAAGTCTAGGGTTGTGGCAAGGGGGTTTCAGCAGACAAAGGGAAAGAACTATGATGAGGTGTTTGCTCATGTGGGGAAAGGAACAACACTAAGGGTGCTATTTTCGATAACTGCACTTCTGGGATGGAAGATTCGGCAAATGGACATTGTGACTGCCTTTCTGAATGTGATCATTCTGGAGGAGGTGTACATGAAGCAGCCAGAGGGGCTGGATGATGGTAGCGGCAGGGTCTGTAGGCTGAAGAAGGCCATCTATGGCCTTAAGCAGGCGCCTCGTGCATGGTATCACAAGTTGGAGGAGGCACTGCTAGCTGGGGGTTTCACAAAGAGTGAGTGTGACCCCAGCCTGTTCCTGCTGTAGGAGAAGGATGAAATCCTCATGCTTTTGGTGTATATCCTTCTCTTCTCTGCATCAACTGCTTTGCTGGAAAGCGCAGAGCAGATGCTGGAGATGCATTTCAAGTGCTCCAAGATGGGTGAGGTGAAGTATTACATGGGGATGCACGTGGAGAGAGATGTGGAGAATGGTGTACTGAGGTTGCACCAGAGGAAGTACTGTGAGGGGCTGGCTGAGAAGTATGGCTGCAAGATGGGGGAAAGCCAGCAACAACACTACCTTCGGGGTTTACTGTGGAGCCATGTGCTGATGAGGATGTAGTGGGTGAGAGTGACAAGAAGCTGTCTCATTCAATGGTTGGGTCGCTGAACTATGTTGCATATCATACACGGCCTGACATTGCATTTGCTACATCACAGCTGGCTAGCGTGGTTTCACGCCCTAGTCATGAGCAGCTGGAAACGGCCAAGAGGTTGGTCCGCTATGTGAGTGCTACGGCATCAGTTGGAGCTTCAACTCAGTGAAAGCGGATGGCACCAGCATTGGGGGTTATGTGTGTTTATTGGCAGGTGGTGCTGTGAGCTGGCGCAGCAAGAAGCAGAATGAGGTGGGATTGTCTTCATGTGAGACAAACATGGCCTTACACCATGGGGCCAAGGAATTGGTGTGGCCGAGGCGTTTGTTGGAGGAGTTGGGAGTTGGTTAGGAGGAGCCGACGGTTATCTTCTGTGACAATGAATCTGTAGTGAAGCTAGCCAAGAATGCTTGTCTGCATGGGCTGACAAAACACATAAAGCCTAAGTGGCATTGGGTGAGGAGACTCCTTGATAAGGAGGTGCAGCTGGAGATAGTGAAGACCCATCAGCAGGCAGCAGATATTTTCACTAAGCGTCTCAGGAAGGCGGATCATTGGAAGGGAATGAAGCTTGCTGGCATGAATGTGCATTGAGTATGCATGCCTGAGATGTCGTATGGTGGATGATGGTTGGCAGCCAGAGGGGGAGATTGTTGTGTGATGTCATCATATGCTATCACATTCTGTCTGCCTCCCATCCTTTGTTTCAATTCGCATGTATGGTTTGAGTGTGTGCAAGCATTTATGTGTGGTGTGTTCTGGATTTTGGGAATGCGTTTTGTGTTATTTTGTTTGAGCAGGTATTTGTGATGATAGATCTTGAGAAGATCTTTCCGGCGCAACAAGAATCACTTCAATCGGAAGAACGCAAAAGCTATGAAGATTCAAAGTTCATGAGCTTGCGTTACAATTGCGGCGGTTACAAAGTGAAGTTGAGGGGTGACTCTATATGGAGTTGAGACCTTTGGGGTTGGGGAAATTCGTCACTCTACTGTAGCAGCTGCAAATTGGTTGGGAACAACCAAACTAGGTTGGCAAGGGTGGCCAACTTGGATGGATTCGTTGGGAAGGGACAAAGGTCAAAGTTGAGGTTCCTATAGGGAGGGAATCTTTGTGCTTATGGGGCTTTCTTGGTTGGGGACTCTCTTGGGACCTTCCCTCTCATCCCTCTCTTTCCTTCCAACCTTTCTCTTGCTCCTCAAATTCCTTGTGAGATTATTGAAGCTTGATTGAACTTTTGAGATTGAGTTAAGTTCTTCTCCTACAGCATACTCGCCTGTGCGTTGAAAGACGTAGCATTGCAAGTACTCCATCAATCAGTGTGATTCAAAATGGGAACGGTAGCACACATTAAGAGATACAACATATCCGAGTTTCAAAAGATTCCAACTTCTTGTTTTTTTGTCAACAACGATCCTTATGGAGACGACTTTTCTGTCCATAATTTTGGAGTTCTATTTTGAGCAATTCTAACTCCCAAGTTCACCTAGACTCCGTCCTTAATCCGGACAGTTTTAAATTTCACTTTTCACCATGGCGGGGCTTTGTTAAAATTACGCACCAACGTTCCAAACTTTGAGTACCTTTATCATTGCCTTCTTTTGGAACCAACTGCTCTGGATTGGCATGTATGCTAAAGAGTCCAAGGCCCTTCCAAATAACACTTGATGTCATGCATAGAAGATGTGGATGGTGATTTAAATTCCACTTTGCACCGTGGCGGGCTTTGCTAAAAATACACGCCAAAGTTCCAAACTTACAGCACCTACATCTTCTTCCTTCACTTGAAACCAAACACTCTAGGTTGGCAGGTATGCTGAAGACTCCAAGGCCCTTCCAACAAACTAAAAGTGTCATGCAGAGAATATGTAGATGCTTATTTAAATTCCACTTTGCACCGTGGCGGGGCTTTGCTAAAGATACATGCCAAAGTTACAAAGTTTCAACGCCTATATTTTCTTCCTTCACTTGGAACCAAAAGCTCTAGGTTGGCAAGTATGCTAAACAATTCAAAGCCCTTCCAACAAGCTCAAAATATCATGCATTGAAGATATGGATGGTGATTTAAATTTCACTTTTCATCATGGCGAGCCTTTGCTAAAACTACGCGCCAATTTTCCAGATTTAGAGTACCTACACTGACGGAAAGAATTGTCCACATGTTTGGCAATTTTTTGAATTTCCACCGTTAAAGGGCATTTGAACATTAAGCCTTAATCGGAGGCATTACCCACTATATGCAGGCCAATCTAGGGAGACATTAAAATGCTACACATTTGATGAAACTACTATCGTTAACAGTAAACAGCAAACATAACCAAACACGGTGCATGTGGACAATTATTTCCAGGCGGAAGCAGCAACTTGAAAAACCCTTAAACTAGTACCTGGTCCACCGCCCTTTAGCCCTAATCACTGCTTTCACCCTCCTGGGCATGCTGTCGATCAAATTGGAGCACACCTCTGATGGGATCTTCTCCCACTCCTCTTGTACACGCTCCCACAGGTCCACCATACCAGTGGGAGGTGTCTCATGCTTTCCCAGCTCCCTTTTAAGATGAGCCCACAGATGCTCAATGGGGTTCAGATCAGGACTTCCTGCCGGCCACTCCAGGACCCCATACTCCTGCTCCTGAAGCCACTGCTGCACCACACGGGACTTATGCTTGGGGTCGTTATCATGCTGGAAGATCACAGCCGAGGGGGTTAGCTTGTAAAAGTCGATGGTTTTTTTCAGCTCGTCTTGCAAAATGCTCACATACAGCGGCCCGTCCATCCGACCATCGATTTTGCACATGAAACCCGCCCCCTCAAACGTCATACATCCCCAGATCATCAAGCCGCCGCCCCCGTGTTTGACGGTTTGCTTGATATGGTGGTGTTGGAGAGTCGTACCTTCACGAACCCAGGCGTACGCGCGGCCGTCAGAGCCGAACCTACTAATCCTCGTCTCATCCGACCATATGACCCATCGCCAATCATCTATGGTCCAATCCGCGTGGGCCCGTGCGAACGCCAGCCTATCGCGGATATTTTTATTGGAGAGTCGCGGCTTCTTAGGCTGCTGAACTGCGATAAGGCCGCTGGATTTGAGCGCATTACGCACCGTCCTAGGATGCACCGTGATGCCGTGCTGGGATTCGACGATTTGGGCCGCATGCCTCGAGGTTTTCGCCTCGCCGCTAGTGATCGCCCTGACGATCCCACGACGAATTCTACTCGACAGTACGCGTGGACGACCAGCAGTGGGCATTGTAGGACGTACGTCCTCGGGACTAGTCTCTGAAATCGCCTTGAGCCCAACATCATGCACTGTACTTTTCCCAACGCCAACCTGTTTCGTGATTTGCCTCGTGCTGAACCCCCTACGCAACAGGGCCACGATCCGGGCGCGACGAGCCTCATCTATCGGTCTCATCTTGGCGTAGTCTACGCCTCGGGTATAAACTTTATTCTGACTACTCGACGATTGCGTTAGGAACTATGGAGAGAATGCTCTAGTCGAAAACGGATCTAGTCCGCTGCTTGGCCAAAACTGTCCGGATGCACTCACGCGACTGAAATCTTGGCCACGCTATTAGTGCGACCCATTCAGGTTGCAAACGTGTTACCCTATTGTAACTGGCACGCGTAACTTATTAGTCAGCAATGAACATTCAACGATACATCGGGTGAAAGCATTCAAATCATGTGTTCAACCTAAAATTGGACTTTATCCGGGCAATACTTTCCGTCGCTGTATATCATTTCCTTCACTTGGAACCAAATGCTCTAGGTTGGCAAGTATGCTAAAGAGTCCAAGGCCCTTCCAAATAACACCTGATGTCGTGCATAGGAGATGTGGATGGTGATTTAAATTCCACTTTGCACCATGGCGGGGCTATGCTCAAAATACGCGTCAAAGTTCCAAACTTGCAGCACCTATATTTTCTTCCTTCACTTGGAACCAAAAGCTCTAGGTGGGCAGGTATGCTAAACAGCCCAAGTCCCTTCCAAAAATCTCAAAATACCATGCATAGAAGATGTGGATGGTGATTTAAATTTCACTTTTCACCACGGGGGGGCTTGCTAAAATTGCGCACCAACGTTCCAGACTTTGAGTACCTTCATCATTTCCTTCACTTGGTACCAAATGCTTTAGATTGGCAGGTATGCTAAAGATTCCAATGCCCTTCCAAGTAACACTTGACGTGATGCATAGAAGATGTGGATGGTGATTTAAATTTCACTTTGCACAGTGACGGGCTTTGCTAAAAATACGCGCCAAAGTTTCAAACTTTCAGCACGGATATTTTCTTCCTTCACTTGGAACCAAAAATTATAGGTTGGCAGGCATGCTAAACAGTCCAAAGCCCTTCCAAAAATCTCAAAATGTCATGCATAGAAGAAATTGATGGTGATTTAAATTTCACTTTTCACCATGGTGGGGCTTTGCTATAATTACGCACCAACGTTCCAGACTTTGAGTACCTAAATCATTTTCTTCCCTTGGAACCAAACACTCTAGGCTGGCAGGTATGCTAAAGACTCCAAAGCCCATACAAACAACACTTGATGTCATGCATAAAAGTTGTGGATGGTGATTTAAATTCCACTTTGCTAAAAATGCGTGCCAAAGTTCCGAACTTTTAGCGTCTATAACTTCTTCCTTCACTTGGAACCAAAAGTTCTAGGTTGGCAGCTATGCTAGACAGTCCAAATCCCTTCCAACAATCTCAAAATTCCATGCATAGAAGATGTCGATGGTGATTTAAATTTCACTTTTCACCATGACGGGGCTTTGCTAAAACTACGCACCAACGTTCCAGATTTTAAGTACCTTAATCATTTTTTTCACGTGGAACCAAATGCTCTAGGTTGGCAGGTATGTTAAAGAGTCCAAGGCCTTTGCAAATAACACTTGATGTTGTGCATAGAAGATGTGGATGGTGATTTAAATTTTACTTTGCATCGTGGCAGGCTTTGCTAAAGATACGAACCACACTTACAAAGTTTCTGCGCCTATATTTTCTTCCTTCACTTGGAACCAAATGCTCTAGGTTGGCAGGTATGCTAAACAGTTCAAAGCCCATCCAAGAATCTCAAAATGTCATGCATAGAAGATGTGAAGGTGATTAAAATTTCACTTTTCACCATGGCAGGGCTTTCCTAAAATTACGCACCAATGTTCCAGACTTTGAGTACCTATATCATTTTCTTCACTTGGAACCAAACACTCTAGATTGGCAGGTATGCTAGAGAGTCCAAGGCCCTTCCAAACAACACTTGATGCCGTGCATAGAAGATGTGGATGGTGATTTCAATTCCACTTTGCACCGTGGCGGGCTTTGCTAAAAATACGCGCCAAAGTTCCAAACTTTCAGCACCTACATCTTCTTCCTTCACTCGGAACGAAACACTCTAGGTTAGCAGGTATGCTAAAGAGTCCAAGGCCCTTCAAACTAACTAAAATTGTCATGCATAGAAGATGTGGATGCCGATTTCAATCCCACTTTGCACCGTGGTGGGGCTTTGCTAAAGATACGTGCCAAAGTTCCAAACTTTCAGCACCTATATTTTCTTCCTTCACTTCGAACCAAAAGTTCTAGGTTGGGAGGTATGCCAAACATTCCAAAGCCCTTCCAACAATCTCAAAATGCCATGCATAGTAGATGTGGATGGTGATTTAAATTTCACTTTTCACCATGGCGGGGCTTTGCTAAAATTACGCACCAACGTTCCAGATTTTGAGTACCTTTGTCATTTCCTTCACTTGGAAACAAATGCTCTAGATTGGCAGGTATGGTAAAGAGTCCAAGGCCCTTCCAAATAACACTTGTTGTCGTGCATTGAAGATGTGGATGGTGAGTTAAATTCCACTTTGCACCGTGGCAAACTTTGCTCAAAATACGCGCCAAATATCCAAACTTTTGTTAGAATTAAGGACGGAGTCTAGGTGAACTTAGGAGCTAGAATTACTCAAAATAGAAATCCGGAATTCTGGACAGAAAAATCGCCTTCTGAAGAGACGTCGTCGACAGAAAACTAACAGTTGGAATGTCAAGTGCAAGTGGGGTCTTGGCTGGTCCTGTACTGCTGTTGAAGGGGAACTTGGAGAACTTGGTCTCCAAGCATGTAGGGCAGCTCCCAATCTCCTTCACTCCACCTTTGACCTCCAAGCTTTTCAGGCTCCCATCCTTCACCAACTTCTGCAGCATAGGGAAGTTCACATGACACAGCCTCTCATGCCATGTCTCCCAATTGGCACCCTTAAGCTCCCCATTAGCTCCCTTAACCTTGGCATTCCCAACACCAATCACACGGAGCAAAGCACCTGACGCTGCTGCCACATACTTAATCTTCCCGGGGGGTTCTACCTCATCAAGCAAATGTGCCTGTGGGGTCATGTGACTGGTGCAACCTGAATCAATCACCCAGTGCGTGAGAGGGTGCATCACAACCTTTCCCAAAGATCCCACATCACCCTCATGCCCATGCACATCATCAACCATGAGAAGCATCCCGAGATAGGCATTACCTTGTGCACCTTCACCTTGTGCACCTGAGCCTTGCACAGCGCCACCTTGTGCACGTTCACCACTGGGCGGCTTCATGCCTGGAGGTGCCCATCCCTTTGGCCTGCTGAAGCATTTGAACCAAGGGTGCCAAACCTTCTTGCAGTACCAGCAGGTGCCCTCCATTCCGGTACTCCCCCTGCCACCAGAGCTCCCATGCCCCTCATTATAGTCACCTCGGCCTCTACCTCTGCCAAAGCTCCTCCCACGGCCTCTGCCTCTCCAACCCCCTCTTCCTCTGCCGCGCCCTGCAGCTCCATATCCCTCGGCAGTCCTAGTGGAAGCATCGCCTCCCACATGGCGTCTGCGGAAGTCCTGCAGAACCTGCTGCCTTAGCCACTCAGGTGTCCATTGATCTTGCTGAGAGTTGAGGGTGGGGATAAGGTTGTCCCAAGAGTTGTCCAATACCGAGATGATCTTGGTGCACTGCTGCAGCTGAGATACACTGCTGCCCGCTGCTGTCATCCTTGCATAGGTGTCCTTGATCTTGTAAAGGACCGGCTTCACATCATCCCCCAGTCGCATGGAGATGGCAGCAAGTTCCTTCTCGAGCACGATCACCATCGGGAGAGTGTTGGGCTGAATCACATCGCGTAGTAGTTTCCACGCCCTTGGACCCGAATCATCCGCTTCCACAAGATCCTTGATGTGTTCGAACATCTCCTTGTTGACCGATTGAAGGATGAGGTCAAAAAGCACCGCGCTTTACTCAATCCACCGTTCGCGTGCTTCCCCTTCCTCCGACATCTTCTCCTCCCCAGCAGCAAACTTCAGTAGCTTGTAGCGTTTGAAGGCACTCCTCATCCGCCCACTCCATTCCTCATAGTTGGAGCCATCCAAAGCTTCAACTTTGGATGGTGGCGGCTCATTTGTCTTCTCAGGTACAGCTCCTCTTCCATTAGCATCTCCTCCTCTCTCATTCATCTTCTCCTTGAGAAATGACGAATTTCAGCTCCCCTTTCCTATCCGGACTCAGCTCCCTTGATATTTTCACAAGATGTTTGCGTTCACGAAATTCCGGCTGAGTTTCCCCTTAGCGGAAGTTTCATCCAACCTTTTGAATACCACTTGGGCACACCCACAGGCCATGGTGAGTCTAGAAGGGTCTTCACACTTCTGTAGACTCCTCTCAATGTCGTCAATATCGCTCTGATCCAACTTGTTAGAATTAAGGACGGAGTCTAGGTGAAATTAGGAGCTAGAATTACTCAAAATAGAAATCCGGAATTCTGGACAGAAAAATCGCCTTCTGAAGAGACGTTGTCGACGGAAAACGAACAGTTGGAATGTCACGAACCTCGGATATGTTGTAGCTCGTAATCTGAGCTACCGTTCCCAATTTGAATCACGTTGATTGATGGAGTATACGCGACGCTATGTCTTTCGACGCATGGAGGGGTAAGCTGTAGGAGAAGAACTTAACTCAATCTCAAACTTCAATTAAGGTTCAAGAATCTCACAAGGAATTGGAGGAGCAAGAGAAAGGTTGGAATGGAAGAGAGGGATGAGAGGGAAGGTCCCAAGAGAGTCCCCAACCAAGGAAACCCCATAAGCACAAAGTTCCCTCCCTATAGGAACCTCAACTTTGACCTTTGTCCCTTCCCAACGAATCCATCAAAGTTGGCCACCCTTGCCAGCCTAGTTTGGTTGTTCCCAACCAATTTGCAGCTGCTACAGTAGAGTGACGAATTTCCCCAACCCCTAACGGTCCCAACTCCATATTAAATCACCCCACAACTTCACTTTGTAACCGCCGCAATTGTAACGCAAGCTCATGAACTTCAAAGCTTCATAGCTTTCGCGTTCTTGCTCCGATTGAAGCGATTCTTGTTGCGTCAGAAAGATCTTCTCAAGATCTATCATCACAAATACGTTCTCAAACAAAAATAACACAGAACACATTCCCAAACTCCAGAAGAGACCACACATAAATGCTTGCACACATTCAAACCATACATGCGAATTGAAACAAAGGATGGGAGGCAGACAGAATGTGATAGCATATGATGACATCACACAACAACTTTCAGCACCTATATTTTCTTCATTCACTTGGAACCAAAAGTTCTAGGTTGGCAGGTATGCTAAACAGTCCAAAGCCCTTCCAGAAATCTCAAAATGTCATGCATAGAAGATGTGAAGGTGATTTAAATTTCACTTTTCACCATGGCGGGGCTTTGCTAAAATTACGCACCAACGTTCCAGACTTTGAGTACCATTATCATTTTCTTCACTTGGAACCAAATGCTCTAGATTGGCAGGTATGCTAAAGAGTCCAAGGCCCTTCCAAACAACACTTGATGTCATGCACAGAAGATGTGGATGGTGATTTAAATTCTACTTTGCACCGTGGTGGGCTATGCTAAAGATACGAACCAAAGTTACAAAGTTTCAACGCCTATGCTTTCTTCCTTCACTTGGAACCAAAAGCTCTAGGTTGGCAGGTATGCTAAACAGTTCAAAGCCCATCCAACAATCTCTTAATGTCGTGCATAGAAGATGTGGATGGTGATTTGAATTCCACTTTGCGACGTGGCGGGCTTTGCTCAAAATACGCGCCGAAGTTCCAAACTTTCAGCACCTATATTTTCTTCCTTCACTTGGAACCAAAAGTTCTACGTTCACAGGTGTGCTAAACAGTCCAAAGCCCTTCCAACAATCTCAAAATGCCATGCATAGAAGATGTGGATGGTGATTTAAATTTTACTTTTCACCATGGCGGGGCTTTGCTAAAATTACGCACCAACGTTCTAGAGTTTGAGTACCTTTATTATTTCTTTCACTTGGAACAAAATGCTCTGGATCGGCAGGTATGCTAAAGAGTCCAAGGCCTTTCCAAACAATACTCGATGTTGTGCATAGAAGATATGGTTGGTGATTTAAATTCCACTTTGCACCGTGGCGGGCTTTGCTCAAAATACGCGCCAAAGTTCCAAACTTTCAGCACCTATTTTTTCTTCCTTCACTTGGAACCAAAATTTCTAGATTGGGAGGGATGCTAAACATTCCAAAGCCCTTCCAACAATCTCAAAATGCCATGCATAGAAGATATGGATGGTGATTTAAATTTCACTTTTCATCATGGCGAGCCTCTGCTAAAATTACGCACCAACGTTCCAGACTTAGAGTCCCTTTGTCATTTCTTTCACTTGGAACCAAATGCTCTAGATTGGCAGGTATGGTAAAGAGTCCAAGCACCTTCTAAATAACACTTGATGTCGTGCGTAGAAGATGTGGTAGTGATTTAAATTCCACTTTGCACCGTGGCAGGCTAAGCTCAAAATACGCGCCATAGTTCCAAACTTTCAGCACCTACATTTTCCTCATTCACTTGGAACCAAAAGTTATAGATTCGCAGGTATGCTAAACATTTCAAAGCCCTTCTAAAAATCTCAAAATGTCATGCATAGAAGATGGTGGATGGTGATTTAAATTTCAGTTTTCACCATGGCGGGGCTTTGCTAAAATTACGCACCAAAGTTCCAAAATTTTGAGTGCCATAATCATTTTCTTCACTTGGAACCAAATGCTATAGGTTGGCAGGTATGCTAAATATTCCAAGGCCCTTCTTACAAAATAAAATTGTCATGCATAGAAGATGTCGATGCTTATTTAAATTCCACTTTGCACCGTGGCGGGGCTTTGCTAAAGATACGTGCCAAAGTTACAAAGTTTCAGCGCCTATATTTTCTTCCTTCACTTGGAACCAAAAGCTCTAGATTGGCAGGTATGCTAAACAGTTCAAAACCCTTCCAACAAGCTCAAAAAATCGTGCATTGAAGATGTGGATGGTGATTTAAATTTCACTTTTCATCATGGCAGGCCTTTGCTAAAATTACGCGCCAACGTTCCAGACATTGAGTACCTATATCATTTTCTTCACTTGGAACCAAACACTCTAGGTTGGCAGGTATGCTAAAGAGTCCAATGCCCTTCCAAACAACACTTGAAGAAGATATGGATGGTAATTTAAATTCCACTTTGCATCGTGGCGGGCTTTGCTAAAAATACGTGCCAAAGTTTTAAACTTTCAGCACCTATATTATCTTCATTCTCTTGGAACCAAAAGTTCTACGTTGTTAAGTATGCTAAACAGTCCAAAGCCCTTCCAACAATCTCAAAATGTCATGCATAGAAGATGTGGATGGTGCTTTCAATTCCACTTTCCACCGTGGCGGGCTTTGCTGAAAATACGCGCCAAAGTTCCAAACTTTCAGCACCTACATCTTCTTGGAACCAAACACTCTATATTGGCAGGAATGCTAAAGATTCCAAGGCCCTTCCAAAAAACTAAAAGTGTCGTGCATAGAAGATGTGGATGCTGATTTAAATTCCACTTTGCACCGTGGCAAGGCTTTGCTTAAGATACGTTCCAAAGTTACAAAGTTTCTGCGCCTATATTTTTTTCCTTTACTTGGAACCAAAATCTCTAGGTCAGGTATGCTAACCAGTTCAAAGCCCTTCCAACAAGCTCAAAATATCGTGCATTCCTCCAACAAGCTCCAACAAGCATCTGCTGTCCTGTCCTGTCCTCTGCTGTCCTGTGCTGTCCTCTGCTACCCTCTGCTGTCCATTGCTGTCATCTGCTGTCCTCTGCTGTCTTGTGCTGTCCTCTGCTGTCCTCTGCTGTCCTGTGCTGTCATCTGTTGTCCCCTGCTGTGATCTGCTCTCCTATGCTGTCCTCAGCTGTCCTCTGCTGTCTCCTGCTGTCATGTCTTGTCCTCTGCTGTCATTTGGTAACCTGTGCTGTCCTCTGCCTTCCTCTGCTGTCCTCAGCTGTCCTCTGCTGCCCTCTGCTGTACTCTGCTGTCGTCTGCTTTCCTCTGCTGACCTCTGCTGTCCTGTGCTGTCCTGTGCAGTCCTCTGTTGTCCTCTGATATCCACTGCTGATCTCTGCTGTCCTTTGCTGTCCTCTGCTGTCCTCTGCTGTCATCTGCTGTTCCATGCTGTCCTATGCTGTCCTCTGCAGTCCTCTGATGTCATATGCTGTTCCATGCTTTCCTCTGCTGTCCTCTGCGGTCCTCTGCTATCCTCCGCTGTCCTCTGCTATCCTCTGTTGTCCTCTGCTGTCCACTCTTGTCCTCTACTGTCCTCTGCTGTCCTTTGCTATCCTCTTCTTTCCTCTGCTATCCTCTGCTGTCCTCTGCTGTCCTCTGCTGTCCTGTGCTGTCTTCTGCTGTCCTCAGCTTTCCTCTGCTGTCCTCTGCTGTCCTCTGCTGTCCTCTGCTGTCCTCTGCTGTCCTCTGCTGTTCTCTGCTGTCCTGTCCTTTGCTGTCCACAGCTTTCCTCTGCTTTCCTCTGCTCTCGTTTGCTGTCCTCTGCTGCCCTCTGCTGTCCTATGTTGTCCTCTGCTGTCCTCTTCTGTCCTCTGCTTTTCTCTGCCTTCCTCTGCTATCTCCTGCTGTCATGTGCTGTCCTCTGCTGTCCATTGCTAACCTCTGCTGTCCTCTGCTGTCCTCCTTGTCCTGTGCTTTCCTCTGCTGTCATCTGCTGTCCTCTGCTGTCCTCTGCTGTCCTGTGCTTTCCTCCGCTGTCCTCTGCTGTCCTGTGATTTACTCTGCTACCTTCTGCTGTCCTCTGCTGTGCTCTGCTATCCTGTGCTGTCCTCTGCTGTCCTCTGCTGTCCTGTGCTGTCCTCTGCTGCCCTCTGCTGTCCTCTGCTGTCATCTGCTGTCCTATGATGTCTTGTTCTGTCCTCTGCTGTCCTTTGCTGTCCTCTGCTGTCCTCTGCTGTCCTCTGCTGTCCTCTGCTGTCCTCTGCTGCCCTCTGCTGTCATATGCTGTCCTCTGCTGTCCTCTTCTGTCCTCTGCTTTTCTCTGCTTTCCTCTGCTGTCTCCTGCTGTCATGTGCTGTCCTCTGCTGTCCATTGCTAACCTCTGCTGTCCTCTGCTGTCCTCCGCTGTCCTCTGCTGTCCTCTGCTGTCCTGTGCTGTCCTGTGCTGTCCTCTGCTGTCCTCTGCTGTCCTCTGCTGTCCTCTGCTGTGCTCTGCTGTCCTGTGCTTTCCTCAGCTGTCCTCTGCTGTCCTGTGCTGTCCTCTGCTGCCCTGTGCTGTCCTCTGCTGTCCTGTGCTGCCCTCTCCTGTCCTCTGCTGCCCTCTGCTGTCCTCTGCTGTCATCTGCTGTCCTGTGCTGTCTTGTGCAGTCCTCTGCTGTCCTTTATTGTCCTCTGCTGTCCTCTCCTGTTCTCTGCTGTCCTCTGCTGTCCTATGCTGTCCTCTGGTTTCCTCTGCTATCCTGTCCTTCCCTTTGGTGTCCTCTGCTGTCATCAGCTGTCCTCTGCTGTCCTCTGCTGTCATCTGCTGTCCCATGCTGTCCTCTGCTGTCCTCCTCTGTCTCCCGCTGTCTGCTCTGCTCTCATTTGGTAACCAGTGCTGTCCTCTGCCCTCCCCTGCTGTCCTCTGCTGTCATCTGCT